ACGACAAAATCTATAACCCTCGTCCTAAAGTCCTTTGCAACAGAAAGGTCAAACAATAATTCAATAGTAAGAAATGTTTGTCACCAATAAAATGCGTTGCTTGAAATAAAAGCTAACGAGGTCACGAATACTTGGCTACTATAATTTGTGTGAAATTATTAATTAGCTAATCGAGTTAGTGCTTTATCGTGACAATCTGTAGCGTGAGCGCTCGACAACAATATTACTGGAGCGGCGGCGGCGGCGTGTGGGACTTCTTAAAGCGTTGTTAACTGTTCGTGTATTAAAATTAAATATGGTTTTCAAATAATTTGTATTATGTTCATTTATTGTCTTAATGGGAGCTTAAAATATTAGTTTAAGTATTTATTTAAAGGGTATAGAATCCTCTATTCATGATAGTTTAGCATTGAGTATGTATGTTTGTGTTGGAGTCGGTGATACTATAGAAACCAAAAAGTTTGTATGTAGTTAGGTTTAGAGTACTCATGATCATACCTAAACCTAAAATATATCTATATGAACATCGATACCATACATCGATAAACGCGAGCTATGCCTAGGAGCCATTAATAGTGATCGAATGATCGTTTAGCGTTGCGGTCAGCACCGCAGGGGGACATAATCGAATATTGGCTCGTAATAGCGATTGCAAATCGATTGTGAGCCGCACAATCGAGTTCCCGTAATCGAGCGGTCGTGATGAAGCTTTCATTGGTCCGTAACTAAGCTCGTTTCGTTTGTGTCTGTGTGGGTTTAAATATTGGACGCTATTCATTTGTTTTGTGTCCCCACGAAATTGTCAGCCGTACGTTTGTAATTCCACCGCGGCCGTCAAATCATTGGACATGTCCTTAGTGAGTTTGCCTCATTTTAGATTTGATGCTAAATTCGATGATTGCAATGTAATTAGTTGTTCGCTGGTAGTTTATTTCATCAATGTTTATTGGTATGGTTTTGTAATTAGGCTTAACTGGTACAGTTAGTTATGTATTTAATAGGTTTTCCTATGTTTTGCATAATTATAATTTTATCTTACTTAATATAATTAAGCAAGATAATTATAATTTGATGACTGGCTCATTAACTTTGGTTTGCAAACATAACTACTTAGTCTTATATCATACCATTAGAGTTTTATATAGTCTGTAACTTTCAAAATCTTAGTAGTAATACTGAAGTGATTTTCATGTTCATCATCTTCTGAAAGAACAGAGTGATACCTAAGTAAGTACTCACTCACTTAAAGATAAAAAGGAAATACTTAACTTTAAAAAACTTGACATTTCGTATATTAATCTGACAACACAAGTTACAACTTCAATTAAATTTAAAAGCATCAATTAGAGTAAGATAATCGAATTACTGGAACATTTCATTTGAGAGCGTCAGAAGTTGCGTGTCAAATGAACGCGATGTAAAAACAACATCGGATGTAATCATTATCAATTAAGTAGCAAATTGGGAGGAGCTTGTTGATATACATAAGTACTTAGCTGTAGAGGACCAATCGCTTGAGAGGTTTATGCCTGACGAGTATACCGATGCTATGTTTTGTCTACCAAGTTTATACTTGTGTCCGCCATGTCTTTGCTTTATTCTACTAAATTTTATATTATTTCGATAGAAAGAGAAAAGATTTGCACCGAAATGCTTTTCTGGACTGCTTTTATGGCCAGTAATTCTACAGGATGGACTGGGACCTAGGCTACAAGGTTATTTGAGAGGAACCTTCCTAATGTCACGCAAATGAAGCAGCAGATGGAAAAGAATAAGACTGCATCTTTCTATGGTAATTCCGATCGCTATACAAATAAAATTTCTGTCACGGTTTTGAGAGGCAGTATCAAAATTGTTTTAGAATTAAAGTAGGCTGTATCGGCTAATGTAATAATTGTGCTGAATAATTCAATGGGCTATCAGTAACTCGTATTGTGATAACTGTATAAAACTCAACTGTAAAATGACTTAGATATGGAGATCAGAGAGATGAATAATGGAAACAAAGACAGTGCTTGCTCTACTAGCAGAATTTGTTTAAGACAACATGACTAAGCTGATAGATCATAAGGATGCTGTAACAATCACAGTTAAGTCAGCTTCCCAAGCAAAAGATTAAATTACGTCTAATCCGCTACAAGGCAAACTTAAATGAACCTTACATTATTTAAATGCTAACTGATTGAATCTAATTTCTTTTTCCAAATACAAATCAATAATTCAATCACGAATCCATTTTGAAAAAATCATTAATGCTACGAGGAGCTTTAATATATACGAACACGGCAAATCTGACACATGATTAGGGTTACCACATTAAAAAACAACAAGACAAGCCATTATAGACGATAATGCTCGCGAGTGTTGCCAGATTATCGATAATTATTACAAAAAGGAAAAAAATACGGTTTCAGATCGTATCGTGATAAGTGTAAAATGTCTTAATGCGTTGCCTACAATATTTTTATTTGTTTTGTGTGCCGCTTGTAATCTGCCTTAGTAATCTAAATGTGACACCACGCTCTCTTTCTTGCGGCCTTAAAAATCTGTAAGAGAGACAGAGATGGCACGATGTTGTGACTTTTGATCGCTCAATCTACTAAGGCGTGCAGGGATGTTTTGTCAGTCTTGTTCACTTTTGATTTCTTAATCGTTTTTACAAATGACAGATGACGTATCAAATATTTGTGGCGCTATCTCATTTGTAACGTGGGACCATCAATACGGTAGTCAGTTGAGAAATGTACTGGTTACAAATAAAATGCGCACCAAGGTCTTAAATCACTTTGATATTTTCAGGACATTGGGCGTTGTGTCTTGTGTTCATCAAACACACAGTTTTCGCCTCTTTTTTTCTAAGGCCCGTGTAAGGCGAGTCTACTACCATTAATTTAATTAGAACTGATTCAGAAATACTTAGCACAAATTGGGAATCGAACCCGAGGCCGACTCCTTGAACTCACTCGTCGGTCAATAAGGTTTTAATATTTTATTGGTACTCATTAACATAATAGTCTAAATCGGTACGTGTGTAAAAACTCCACCCCAATGGGCCACTCAATCACTCGCCGTGGACAAAATAATGGAAGTGATAAATGCAGAGTTTCCGCAAACAATTACTCCACCAGTTTCCCTCGGTAGAACTCAATTTTCGGCACGTTAACATTCTGCATGAATATTTTACTAATTCTCTTAAAAAATGAATATTCGCCCTTTGTAAATACTAAGACTACCAAAGCTATATAAGTATTTGGAATTAAGTAACTATGAACTGATAAATTGACATTTATAGCAATCATTTTCTGAATACTGTTTTTCGTTGCCTGCTGAAAAAATCCTTAGTCTGTCACTTGGAACGATAACCCGCCATTGACTATGCGCTCGATAATTATAGACTAAATTATGTTCGCATTTTTCATTTATTTTTAGGTAGCACTTAAGTTTTAAATTCAAATAAGAGTAAATGTAATAAAAGAAGCTACAGAATGACTAAACAAACATTAAACGATCATGTTTTACAAGTCAGATAATATAATAGGCGTGTAAGGAAGGCCTTGGTTTGCAGATCATGCGATATGCGATGATGTATGTACAAGTTGTGTTCAGATTTATTGTCTGCTGCGGACCGCTTTTAGGCCACTGTGCGATTGTATCGCGCTCAGGCTGTTAGTAAAATCGTTGATAGGAATTTAAATATTGGTTGAATATTGAAATTTCTTTTTCTTATGTCTATTGTTATTACAAATTTTAGTCTTCGACTACTAGCTATGGGATTGAAGAAGGGAAACTTAAACCTTTCTATGCTAATATGAGCAAAGAGTAGAGATTTTATATAGTTTGACACTCATTCGTACGTCTGTGTTTCCCATCGTCGGCCACATCATCGCTTACAATCAGGCGAGATGGTCGTCAAACGTCGAACTATAAACTATAAAAAAGTAAAGATTTCATTGATTCATTACGGAATAGGCTCAGAAACTACTTGAACGATTTAAAAAATCACACACCATTTGGAAACCATACTTATCAGGCAGTAATAAAAGTAACTACATCTTAAAATTATTTGATGGATTGATGGAAAGCTGGCTTAGAATGTTGACTCGAACAGCTATTCCAAGTATACTATAGTTTAATCTTCTTCATCAATGAACCTTGCAACAATTCACGTTCGTATCCAGTCTGTGTGGGATATTTGAATATAATTGCATTATCGGCAAGACACGGCTCTGCATTAGCATACACAGGCTCAAATTGTTTCGTTTGATTTATTACGGTACTCCCTTGTTGGCTCGCTGCGTAATTGCGGTGCCGACTCTACGCTGAATAAATTATTATGCGATTTCAAATGAACGTAATGTTTGTTTAAATAACACGATATTGTTTCCATTATTGTTGTTAGATATTTTATTAATAACCTTCAATGCACTAAGTTCTATAACCATTGATTTGAATTGTAAGATATTTACAGAGATTCGGAAGATGTTAGATAAAGTTGCCTTAAAAATAATGTCATACCGATTCAATATAACTTATTTATTTAATCAAATCAACAATCAAATCAAATAATTATACTGTTTTACGTATGAAAGCACGGGTAATCTACAATTTATCATTGTCACCCTAGATAAAAGCAGAATCATACTAGTTTCTATGGTTGAATGTTTGTCTGACAATCATTTTAAAACTACTGAACGGATTTTAATGAAATTTGGTGTACAGGCAGAGTATGGGCTAAATTAGTTGACGGGATATTTTTATCTCCTTAAATTTTAAATACTGCCAAGGGATAAAACAGTAATACGCGAACAATGCCGCGTTCAAAAGGTAGTTAGTTAGAAGCTATTATAAGTTTTCTTTCTTCGTTAGCCTTTCTTTCTTCATTGGCATATTCACTCCAAATCTACATACAATCGTTCAAGTATCATAATGGTGCTGATTACAGGCTCTCTTAAACTCGTTGCTTAAAATTTTCCTACTAAAACGTGACTTTTATATTCCAGGCGAGGGTTCCTGCAACAGCAATGACGGCTACAGCCAGAGAACCCCAACAGACGACAAGTCTCCGCCAGGCAGTGATGACGAGTCAGCTCGACCTGGCTCAGCAGCAGACAATAAGAAGAAGCATCGGCGGAATAGAACGACGTTCACCACATACCAGCTACATGAACTGGAAAGGGCTTTTGAGAAGAGCCACTACCCTGATGTGTACTCCAGAGAGGAACTCGCGATGAAAGTCAACCTCCCCGAAGTCAGAGTGCAGGTTAGTAATCAACTATAGGTTTAGTTTTTAGGGCTGACCATGATGGTTTTAATTTGAAAACTCTTGTAGTTATGAAAATTATATAGTGACGGCAAATCCCCAAAAGTGTGGATCTATAATATAGATGTCACCATTTCCATATTTTTTCACCGGTCCATAAGAATCAGACGCATTATAACTTGAGTGAATAGAAAATGAACTAAACGATTTTCTCTTAATATTAAGTGAAATAAATACACTTTGTAAACTTTGAGTGAAGGGCCCTAAGGGAAAGGGTAAAGGAGCAATAATGAACCCAAGGGGCTTATGCCACTCAATCCCCTTTGGCTTTGCAGGCCGAACATATGTCGAGCGTATAGATGCCCCACCAAATATCCTGACCCTCCCCACTTGACATCAATGAATAAAAACTAATGCATTACAGAAAGCGCGACCAATTTCAGAGATCTTATTAAACTGGTCGTATCTTAATTGCTTTCTTATGCCACTGCAAAATGATTATAGTACACGTATTTTGGCTCTTACTGACTTGATTTAGAGTCCTTGGATCTGCATTAATAAGTTTGTAAAACGGCTATTTGCCAAATAATGCGGTTGTGAACTAATCTGACACTTGGTTTTCAATATAGGATAAGCTGATTTTAATAGTGTGTGCAAAAATGTCATTGCTTTTGTTAACAGCAATAAGTTCCGCTCGTTCATTTGTAGTTTTTGCTTCGAAGTCGACAATTTATTATTGTTGTGTTGTGTATAATCCTTGGCATAACAGCAACATTGTAATATACAGCTGCCTGCATTGATCAAAATGCAAGCAATTTATAAATAGATAACGATTTGGAAAACACACATGCAAGTTTTACAGTGGGAAGACTGTTCAAAATTCAACGAACGAAGGATATGTAGGTACTATGATGCCATTTGTGACTGTTCTGAGTTCGTGTTTGACAGTTTCTATTTTCTTACATCCCGCCATGTAAATAACGGGCTAAACATACACCTCCATATCCTTTCTATAGGTATTTTCATTCGTGTACATATAATTTCATTACTCTAAATTATTTCCTTTCATTTTTGGAATTCACCGTCAATTTGAAACTTAGTTCTTCCATCAACATACTAAAATTTCGACTCAGTTTGATAGAGTAGTCGTCGGAGGCTCGTCTGCAACGGAAGCGGCCGGTAATTCGCTTAAACTAGCGCCCAGACACCGACACCCCACTAGCGTAAGTGATGTAGGTGCTAGACTCAGTTCTCGTTTACCTTTACGTGTTTATAGTGTTTGTAGGTAATGCTTCATTTAGTAATCTTCCAATGACTATGTTCATACTTTTTGCTGCTCCATAATTTGTGTCTATTGTAGACCTATATGTCTGCTCCATAATTTATGTCTACAATACCTTTTCATTTAAGGACCTTGAATTTGATTGGTTCCCTACAACTCCAGGCTTATATTGCTGCATGACTTATCCGTTCCAATCGAAATGTATAATTATTTAGAGAAACACAATAGGTCCCGTCTAATATAACCCTTATAATTCCCATTACATATCACGGCTCCACGAGTCGACAAATGTGCAGAACACATTAAGTAACTCCTAACAATTGCGACCTTATCATAATCTTATCGGATCTCCTATACAAATTGATTCTTCTTTATAAAGTCAGTCGCACATAAACACTTCTATTTTGTCAAGCTCCAATTTATAAAGACCTCTTTAACGGAACAAACAATTTTAATTTAGGGTTCTATTTTCCCTGGACATTAACAATTGACCTGTCGAAGCTGACAACAAATTTACGCTGGTCTCTCATTCTGTTGAAGTGGTTAAGGATGGGGGTTTAGGTGTAATTGGTTATTTAACAATAGAGGAGTGCATTAAGCGTCAAATAGACAACAATGAGAAAGCGATGGTAATCGAATTCGGTGCGTTGATCGTAGGGTGACTATGATTTTAGTAGGTTTAACGCTAAAGTAAATGAAGGATGATTTTTTTAAAAAACAACGTGTCTATATCATTCAATGAGTTAATTCGGTCTACAAAAATATTGTCTTTGTTTACTTATAGACTACTGAGAAAGAAGTATCAACTATCATAATTTATATTAAGTATTTAATTTCATAAGGACCACTAATTATATGAAAGTAAGAACTCAACTGGCTACCTATCATCGATATATGTTGTCACAAATTTCCACTGTTTTCCCTTCACATTCCCAGTGCACAGTCATTAGATGCTCACCCCAAACATCTCAATAGCTTGTCACTTATCGCAGTCACGCTCCACTTGCGACAAAATGTGCTAATAAACGTTTTTGTACCAAACACCCCGGTTACCCCTTGTGCACTATCACACGAGAGAATGCACTTTATACGAAAATAAATTAAGTTCTTTTTTCTTCTTTATTGTGTGAAGGGTCTCGGAAAATGAGTTCTAAAGTGTTTGTTTAGTGCGCAAGATTGTTTTGTGCGAATTTTAAGTGGCATTTATGTAAAATGGTTCGCTTTTCGGAGCATTAAGCTCTCCAAATTTTTATTAACTCAACAGGTCACATCAACGGCAATTTAGAGACGATGGTGATACGATTTTAGTATCGAATAACCAGAATGTTTAGATGTCAGAAGCCCTGTTTGGTCTTAAAACTGTTAGTCACAAAGTTTGGTCATAATAAATATGCTTGATTCTAAGGCACCTTTCGTCACGGCTAACGATAGAAAAGTGAGTGTATTATGTGATAATATTATGAATTTTAATTGCATGCAAGTCGTGACCAACATTCTCTGAGAGGCGTTTAACATAGCCGGACACGTTGTAATTAAATGTCGTATGAACCTCTCGTCTACATTACAAAAATCACTTAAACTAAAAGAAAATTACACTGTTAATAGCCCGAGGTGTTAATTGTGGTCAGTTGTTAAGAAAACCCCTAATTTTCCAGCGTTAGCAATAATTGCCGTTTCATTTACTACAAGAAAGGGTTCGTGGATGGCCATTAGCAGTTTTTGTTGTGTCACGTCGTTAGCGCTGTCTTACGTCTAGCTTCCGACTGGAATTATAATTACTTTTGTTGATTTACTAAGTGATTCGTGACGTGATATCGTCCCAGCACTTATATCGTGCGAATTAATTACGGTTTCCCCCATACTTAGTGTCAGAAAGGATGGACGAATTAAATTGCTATTTATATGCTTCGTGATGATCCTAATAATATAATGATGCGAAAGTTTATTACGATCGATTGATGTTTGTGCAAAAAGTTTTTATTGAATTTAAATGTAGTTTAATATGTAGGTAGATCTAATCTGGCCAGCCAACACGACTACTTCTTCAGACTGTATGCACATAAAAGTAAATTCATTTAGAATGCCATGCAAAAAAAAATTCTTGATTTTTTGTTTAACTGACCTGCACTTATCGCAATCATTACGATCATGATGTCTCTGTCTGTACAAATAAACTTTTTTTTAATAAATCCTTTGAACGAATGCCATAATTTACTGTATTCAGTATGAATAGACCAATTTACTATTATAATGGTTAAATAAACGCAATTTACACGGTCGTAAGCGATAATCCCGGGAAGGATTGTGAGCAGCGGGATTATGGTCGCCCTACAATGCCCGTGTAAACGTATGCAGCTGTGGTGGTGTCGCGAGACTATGTACCAACGTGTTTTATTACATGCCTATAAATACTACGTACTACATAATTGTAGGTAAACATTGATTGTTGTAAGTTGATTGGTTAATCAAGCTAAAGGTGAACAAAGTTGAAAATTGAGCCAAAATGGACGGATTTATTTTTCACAGTAAAAGATTTAGAAGAAAATGTTTACTAGGTTGATATTAGATATTTACCTGCTTTACAGCGTATATTATTATAGGTCTATCTCATAGGAATCCATTTCAGTGAACTATACACAAATCTAAATTCTCCGTAGCAAAAGACCATGAACTGCGAAACAAAACAAACTTATTCATTTACCTATTTCAGTATGGTGATGATTCCTGTTAACTATCATCAGTTATTTCAATTATGAGATTAACAATTAAACATTACAATAAGGCCCCTGCCGTTCAACAAGGTTTATAAGTATAGTTACGTTTAATACAGTAATCTAATGGTAGGTCATCGACGTGCGGTACGAATTGTTGAGTTTCGGGATGTTTCAAACCGGTTAAACACTACAGCAATGCGTAAAGTAAAGCTGAGCTGTGCGTCTTTTATCGCTTATACTACAGGGAGTGCTCTGAGGATCCTCACACAGCATAAACTTCGGCAATATTTCCGAACCGATATGACCTTCAAACCTTCAAGAAAAGAACGCACTCCTTTTTAAAAGGCCGGCTGCGTATGTACCTGTCCTCTGGTGTTGCGGGTGTCCATGGGCGGCGCTGATCGCCTACCATCAGGTGATCCGTCTGCTCGTTTGCCTCCTATTCCATAAAGAAGGTACTTATTTGAAAATCATTGTGGGTTATCATTAAAATAGCGTTAACACATTAAACGCCATGGGGGTCACCGGTGACCGGCGTTAGCGGAGGATTTACCTTCAACAGTTTTTTATTGGCAGTCAAAGTCTTAATAACAGCTATAACATTTCCTAATTTTGTCACATAAAAATGTGGTATAACATGTTTATATGCGCTGCACAATAATAAGTTAACACTATAGAGTGGTATTAGGTTAGCAGCAAGCGCCGTCGCCGATCGAGTTAGTGCGCAATTAATAACTATTATAACTTAATCCCACACGAGCCAGCCGACACGTGAAACTAAGAGCTTAGACGAAATAGATGAGGCAACGGTACGAAATATTTTACTTTTTGAATGAAACAAAAATTCAAGGAAAATGTTTAATTATAAGTTTGTAACTTTGTTTTGGGATAGAAGACCAGCATTTTTACTAAAATTTTATGCCTCGTACTGACTAACCGTCACATAAAGTTTTACACATGGTGAGCTATGCTTGGGTACGAATGACCAACTTGATCGTAGTTAT